AGCGCTCCATACAAAGGCGCACTGTTACGGGTGCCCTGTTGAACTGGCAAACTGAGACCTGGGAGGGCTAAACTTGAGACTGAACAGGACTTGGGCAGTGAGCCAGCCCAGGAAATCCCAGGGACAAAGCGTTTGGGCTAGTGCAGTGCGACAAACAAAACAGCGATTCCAAACCCTCCCGGTGAAAAGGTTTTCTTAAAGTGCAGCTCTGCAGGGGAGGGGTGTCCGCCATTACCGAGGCAATCAGCCCTCACTGAGGTACACGCCCATTGCTGACGTAGCCTGCCATTGAGACACGAAAAACCCTTCAAAAAATCAATAAATCCAAGAGCTGGTTTTTTGAAAAGATCAACAAAATAGACAGACCACTAGCCAGATTGATTAAAAAGAAAAGAGAGAACAACCAAATAGATGCAATAAAAAATGATAAAGGGGAAATCACCACAGATTCCACAGAAATTCAAACCATCATCAGAGAATATTACAAACAACTCTATGCACATAAACTAGTACACCTGGAAGAAATGGATAAATTCCTGGACTCCTGAGTCCTCCCAAGCCTAAACCAGGAGGAAGCTGAAACTATGAATAGACCAATAACAAGGTCTGAAGTCGAGGCAGCAATTAAGAGCCTACCACACAAAAAAAGCCCAGGTCCAGATGGCTTCACAGCCGAATTCTACCAGACACACAAAGAGGAGCTGGTACCATTCTTCTAAAACTATGCCAAATAATCCAAAAAGAGGAAATCCTTCCCAAATCATTTTATGAGACCAACATCATCCTGATACCAAAACCCGGCAGAGACCCAACGAGAAAAGAAAACTTCAGGCCAATATCCATGATGAACATAGATGCAAAAATCTTCAATAAAATATTGGCAAGCTGATTGCAACAGCAAATCAAAAAACTTATCCATCATGATCAAGTAGGATTCATCCCAGGGATGCAAGGCTGGTTCAACATACACAAGTCTGTAAACATAATTCACCACATAAACAGAACCAAAAACAAAAACCACATGATTATCTCAATTGATGCAGAGAAGGCATTTGACAAAATTCAACAGCCCTTTGTGCTAAAAACCCTCAATAAACTCGGTATCGATGGAATGTATCTCAAAGTAATAAAAGCTATTTATGACAAACCAACAGCCAATATCATACTGAATGGGCAAAATCTGGAAGCATTCCCTTTGAAATCCGGCACTAGACAAGGATGCCCTCTTTCACCACTCCTATTCAATATAGTACTGGAAGTTCTAGCCAGAGCAATCAGGCAAGAAAAAGAAATAAAGGGCATTCAAATAGGAAAGGTGGAAGCCAAATTGTCTCTATTTGCAGACGACATGATAGTATACCTAGAAGACCCCATCGCCTCAGCCCAAAAACTCCTGAAACGGATAAGCAACTTCAGCAAAGTCTCAGGATATAAAATCAATGTGCAAAAATCACAAGCATTCGTCTACACCAATAACAGACTTGAAGAAAGCCAAATCAAGAACGAACTGCCATTCACAATTGCTACAAAAAGAATAAAATACCTTGGAATACAACTCACAAGGAACGTAAGGGACCTCTTCAAGGAGAACTACAAACCACTGCTCAACGAAATCAGAGAGGACACAAACAGATGGAGAAACATTCCATGTTCATGGTTAGGAAGAATTAATATTGTGAAAATGGCTATACTGCCCAAAGTAATTTACAGAATCAACGCTATCCCCATCTTGCTACCATTGACTTTCTTCACAGACCTGGAAAAAACCACGATGAACTTCATATGGAACCAAAAGAGAGCCCACATAGCCAAGTCAATTCTAAACAAAAAGAACACAGCAGGGGGCATCACACTACCGGATTCCAAACTATACTACAAGGCTACAGTAATCAAAACAGCATGGTACTGGTACCAAAACAGAGATATAGACCAATGGAACAAAACAGAGGCACCGGAGGCAACACAACATATATACAACCATACAATCTTTGATAAACCCGACAGAAACAAGCAATGGGGAAAGGATTTCCTATTTAACAAATGGTGTTGGGAAAACTGGCTAGCCATGTGCAGAAAGCAGAAACTGGACCCCTTCCTGACACCTTACACTAAAATTAACTCCAGATGGATTAAACACTTAAACACAAGACCTGGCACCATAAAAACCCTAGAAGGAAATCTAGGCAAAACTATCCAGGACATAGGAGTAGGCAAGGACTTCATGAACAAAACACCAAAAGCATTGGCAACAAAAGCCAAAATAGACAAATGGGACCTAATGAAACTCCACAGCTTCTGCACGGCAAAAGAAACAGTCACTAGAGTGAATCGGCAACCAACAGAATGGGAAAAAATTTTTGCAGTTTACCCATCTGACAAAGGGCTGATATCCAGAATTTACAAAGAACTCAAACAGATTTACAGGAAAAAAACAAACAAGCCCATTCAAAAGTGGGCAAAGGATATGAACAGACACTTTACGAAAGAAGACATATATGAGGCCAACAATCATATGAAAAAATGCTCATCGTCACTGGTCATCAGAGAGATGCAAATCAAAACCACATTGAGATACCATCTCATGCCAGTTAGAATGGCGATCATTAAAAAATCCGGAGACAACAGATGCTGGAGAGGATGTGGAGAAAAAGGAACACTTTTACACTGTTGGTGGGAGTGTAAATTAGTTCAACCATTGTGGAAGACAGTGTGGTGATTCCTCAAGGCCTTAGAAATAGAAATTCCATTTGACCCAGCAATCCCATTACTGGGTATATATCCAAAGGACTATAAATCGTTCTACTATAAGGAGACATGTACACGAATGTTCATTGAAGCACTGTTTACAATAGCAAAGACCTGGAATCAACCCAAATGCCCATTGATGATAGACTGGATTGGGAAAATGTGGCACATATACACCATGGAATATTATGCAGCAATCAGAAATGATGAGTTTGTGTCGTTTGTAGGGACATGGATGAATCTGGAGAATATCATCCTAAGCAAACTGACACAAGAACAGAAAATGAAACACCGCATATTCTCACTCATAGGCGGGTGATGAAAAATGAGAACACATGGACACAGAAAGGGGAGTACTAAACACTGGGGTCTATTGGGAGGAAAAGGGGAGGGCCAGTGGGAGGGGGAGGTGGGGAGGGATAGCCTGGGGAGAAATGCCAAATGTGGGTGAAGGGGAGAAAGGAAGCAAAACACACTGCCATGTGTGTACCTATGCAACTGTCTTGCATGTTCTGCTCATGTACCCCAAAACCTAAAATGCAATAAAAAATTTAAAAAAAAAAAAAAGACATAGACTGGTGACAGTTTGGTGGCATACTGAAGAGCTTTGTGGTGACTATTTTGTAAGCCAGAGATGACAGTGTGTGATGCAGCAATGGAACCAAGTATCTTGATATTAGTGGGAATTATGGGATACCAAAGTGGCAGAAGGTTAGTGATAGAATTTAACTATCAGTGACAGTGGGGGTGAAATTAGAATCCCCTCCAACGCATTATTCCCAGACTTCTGCCAACACGGATTGGTGCAGGCTTACAATTTTTTAGCAAACGGACTAATATCACGGAGATGAGAACAATAAGTAGGAGACTGTGTATGTTGTTCACTAGGATACCATGCTGCTGTGATTTTCTCAGAATCTAGACTTGCAAATTTCACAATTTCTTCAATATAATAATAAAAATACACATCTACACATCATTTGTTGGGCATTTATCATGTGTGAGATAAGTGCTTTACCTACATGCATTCTTTTGTCCTTTCCTGCCCTTTTGGGGGGGGGGACATTATACATTAGGGATATTATCCTAACCCAAAAGAATCCATATTTAGTCAATTCTCTCTCCCCTGCATCAACCCTAGGGTATCTAGGAACATGCAAGGTCTAAAGTTGTACCCGATTAGACTATTAGATTCCAAAGAAGGTTTTTTGGATGTGCCCATCTTAGACTAGCCACAAGGCATAGCCTACATCACTGAGAGGATCACATTCTAATATGGGAATCAGGATGTTTGGTGAGCAAAGGAGCATTTGGCTCTTTACTTCATTCACCCATTCATTGGCTCGTTCGTACTGCGTGCCAGACACATTGCTACACTGCCAAGAGCCTGCGTTAGAGGGGAGGGAGGGATGAACAAGCGAAGCACAAGGGGAAAAAAGTCAGACAGGGTATCTGCCCTCATGAAACCCACCTATAGGATGATTCTAAATATTTGACCCATTTTTTTTTTACTTAGAATAAAATAAAATAGAATAAAGTGAAACAAAATTACCTAATTATGGTAATAGACTCTATTTGTATAGCAGCTTTTGTCTTCAAAATTCCATAGCATGAGCTAGACCTCGTCAGGTACCTGAGCAGGTAGCATCTCCACTCCACTCTACAAAATACACTCTACAGAGGACCAAAGGACTTGAGTGCAGTGCTGTACCCACCACATCCTGCAGAGGATTCTGAGGGGCAAGGAGCTTCCGACAATGATGCTGCTCCTAAAAGGGATGTGTCTGGGGTTAGCAATGGGGCCGCCACGTGATCAGTCCATGGCAGATCAAACACAGCCTCTTCCCCCTGGGTGTGGGCAGCCCCATTAGTTTACATAGCCTAGATTTTAAATCATTTCATTCCTGACTGACCATTCACATTTGGAGTTTCAGCTTGCTCTTTAGGACAGCGGTAATAAAACTACAATCATGGCTACATTTATTGCATGCTTGTTACATAATAAACAATTTTCTAATTTATTTACTAATACCAATTTCATGAATGTTGTGAGCCCATATACTAACACTCCTCAGTTATTTTGTAAGATCTCATCCTCTTCCCAAGGACAGAGGATGATGCCCACACAGCCAGGAGAGGGCGGCATCGTTGTCATCCCCTAACCCATCCTCGTCTTGGGAGCCTGCAGGCTCCGCGGAGCCGCGGAGGCCCCACCGCGCCTCAGGTGTCCGCGCGGGTGTCTCACACGGCCGCGCTCTTGGGCGTTAGAACCCCGCGAGGGGGGATGAGGGACGCCACCGAGAAAGCAGCCCTCACCGGGCTCCCGGGGCTGCCAGGCCCCCAGCTGAGGGTGCTGCCTGCGGAACCACGCCCCCCTGGCCCTGTGCCAAGAGCGTGATGCGAGTGTCCGGAGCCACGGCCTGGTTACCACTCGCGACTTCTTCGTCCCGGGTTCGCCCATCGCCAGGGATGTTTTATGGTAACCATCGTATAGTTGAGACGATCCATTCTTGTCCTACTCATTTCTGCACGACACGGGCATCTAGGAGGCTCGCCAGGCATAGCCTGAGAGACGCTTCCATCCGTTTCCGTGAGTAAACCCCAGCCGGGGAGTTGGCCTTGTGAGTTGCAGCGCCATGAAACACCAAGGCCTGCAGTTCCCAGCATCTGCCCAACTTGAGCTCCTGTTTGAAAGCACTGCTGGTTTTCCCGTCTCTTCCCAATGCTTCAGGTGACCATAAGATATCCTCTTTAGCCTGAGTGTCAGTTATTTTTTAAGACCTCTGTTTATCACCTCCAGATGTTCTTCAGGGTCCACAAAGTGAATTTTATGTATTCACATGGCCTAGATTTTAAGTCGTCCCATTCCTGACTGACCATTCACATTTGGAGTTTCAGCTTGCTCTTTAGGACAGCGGTAATAAAACTACAATCATGGCTGCATTTATTGCACGCTTGCTACATACTAGGCACTTTTCTCATTTATTAATACTAATTTCATGAATGCCATGAGCGCATATACTAAGATCTCAAATAGCATGAAATGAAATCCGGTCAGTTTAGTTGTTTGCCGACCGCAGGAACACATAGAAACTTCATTGTACTTATACGTTCATTTGCCAGTCGCTGAGCTCCAAAAAAAATGTACCATACACAGTGCTTAGAATCTACAGTTACAAAGATGAATATCACAAAACGTAGGAAAAAAGATAACTTATTGGTGGAACTGAAACTGATCAGAAATGGCTGGAGTGTGGTTTGAGAAATTAGCCGGAAAAGGAAGCTAAGGGCACATCATGAAAGGCTCTTGTGTGTTTGCAGACTATCCTAAAGTCAGTAGGGAGCCTCTTAAGTGATATGATGAGATTTGAAGAATTGCTGTGACTGAGATGTGGGGACTACGCTGAAAGGGCAAGGTAAAGAATAATGATGAATACTAGAGGGAAGAAAACCAAATGAGTCTTCATAATAATCCAAGTGAAAAATGAGGCCCTTGAGAACTCAGCCTGTGATCCTTGTCCACCATTTCTATCTGTACGCCCACCCCTCAGTATAGTAATATATTTGGATTTGGAGTTTTCCCTGTTTTAATGGGTTGGTTGATTTAGTTCAGCTGGGTTGAACTGGCTTTGAGGGAAGACTAAACAGGAAGAAGTTGGAAGGGAGCAGTGAGGTTTCCAAGTCTGACGATACTTCGGTTGGATTTCTGGGCACCATTTTCATTTCACTGAGAAATAGAAGTTTCAATTAGGAATGGAACAAAAGCCCAGTCCAGAAGATGGAAAGCTTATGGAGAAGGTTAGAGAAGAGCTGCAATGCAGCGAGCATGTGGGAATCCAACAGACTCATTTCTAAGATATAAGACTTACGTCAGTGAGAGTAATCTAAAACGATATGGTTAGACGTGACATCAGTGAATACAGCACAGTGGGGAACACCAAGCAATTAATAAACTGGCAAAAACTATCAGAAACAACATTCTGACAACTCTAATAATTAACCAAAACTTGCAGCAACCAAGGAATGCTTGATCAAGAAAACACAAGTAAATCTTGGAAACAAGATTTTTCTGACATTTTAATTTATCCTAGTCTCATTTCCCACTCCCAACTCATCCATCCCCTTGAATAAAACAGCCTTCATTCTCTGTACAGGTACCTGGTAACAGAGGGAGCAAAGCAAATCTTATCCTCAAAGAACTGTGGATGCTTGTTAGATCCATCTGGTGGTTCCATAGGGAAACTGCTCAAAGAAACTGCCTTTATCTCACCTAACGTAGAACTATCCCGGAGCTCAGGTAAGCGACTCCAGGTGCATTTGTCAAAAATATGTAAAAGAAAAAAAGTAATAGTCTTTAATTTCTGAGGCAAGAAATAATGATTGGGGCAAATTATACACTAACTTAAAAGTTCGGGAGAAAAGGCCGGGGAATGAGATGCTTTGTGTAACAAACTGATAAATATGTGGAAGGCCACATGCATGACCTGGGCCAGATATATGCTCAGAAAAGACCTGAAAAGACCCTAAGTTCTCACCTTTGGATAATGTTTAAAGTGTGTACAAGTAGGATATAAAGGATAAGCGGAGTGGTCTTTAATGCATTTTGAGTTGATTTTTGTACATGGTGTGAGAAAAAGGTCCAATTTCATTATTCTGCATGTGGATACCCAGTTGTCTCAACATCATTTATTGAAGAGGCTGTCTTTTCTCCACTGTGTGCTTTTCACATCTTTGTCAAAAATCAATTGACCATAAATGTACTGGTTTATTTCTGAATTCTTTAATCCATTCTATTGATAACTGTGTCTGTTTATAATGTCAATACCATGTTGTTTTGATTATTATAGCTTTGTAATATATTTTAAGATCAAGTAGTGCGATGACTCCAGCTTTGTTCATTGTGCTCAAGATTGCTTTGGCTATTTGGGGTCTTTTACGATTCCATACAAACTCTTGTCCTACTCATTTCTGCAAGATATGGGCATCTAGGAGGAAAAGTTTTCAGATTTTCACTGTTAAGTATGTTAGCTGTGGACTTGTCATATGCAGCCTTTATTGTGTTAATATACTTTTCTTCTAGGCCTAATTTGCTGAGAGTTTTTATCATGAAAAGCTGTTGAATTTTGCCAGATGCTTTTTCTGCATCAGTTGATATCAGAGTAATTCTTGCCTCCTAAAATTAGTTTGGAAGTATTTCTCTTCTTCAGTTTTTTGGAAAGACTTGAGAATGATATTAGTTTCTTAAATGCCTTGTAGAATTCATCAGTGATGCTATCAATTCCTGAGCTTTTCTTTAATAGGAGACATTTTATTACTGATTCAAACTCCTTATTCATGGAGGCCTGCTATTACTGTATTGCAGCTTATTACTCCCTTCAGATCTATTAATATTATATATATGTATATATGCACATATTTGTATGGTGCTCCAGTGTTGGGTGCATATATATTTATAATTGTATGTCCTTTTGATGAATTGACCCCTTTATCATTATATAATTACTTCAACTCTTTTTACAGTTTTTTACTTAAAGTCTATTTTGACATATACAAAATAGCTACCCATGCTCTGGTTTCCCTTTACATGGAATATCTATTTCCATCCCATCACTTTTGTCTAAGAGTGTCTTTAAAGGTGAAGTGAGTTTCTTACAGGTTGCAGAGAGTTGGGTCTTACTTATTCATTCAACCACTTTGTCTTTTGATTGGAGAAGTTAATCTTCTTACATTTAAGGTAATATTTGACAAATGAAGACCAGTCTTGCCATTTTGGTATTTGTTCATGACTATTTTGTAGTTTCTTTATTCTTCCAATCTTGCCGGCTTCCTTTTCAATTTGTTGAATTTTTGTAGTGATATGCTTTGATTTCTTTTTTCCTCTTTTTCATATCTGCTATAGGCTTTCTTTTGTAGTTACCATTAGGTATAAATAAAAAATCTTACAGGCATACCTATTTTAACCTCATGACAACTCAACTTCACTTGCATACAAACCTCTCCACTTTTACACCCCATACCACATTTTACATTTTTCTGTCACGGTTAACACTTTTTATATTGTGAATCAATTAACAAATTACTATAGCTATAGTTATTTTTAACAGCTTGCCTGTTAACATTTATACTAGAGATAAAACTGATTTATATACTACTCTTAACAGTATTATTCTGAAGTCAACTATATATTTACCATACCGATATGTTTTATACTTTCATATGTTTTCATGTTACTAACTAGCAGCTTTTTATTTCAGTTCAACTAACTCCCTTTAGCATTTCTTGTAAGGCAGGTCTAGTAAAATGAACTCCCTCTGTTTTTGTTTGTCTGAGAAAGTCTTCATTTCTCCCTGATGATGGACACCTTTGACAGATAATGTATTCATTGGAAGGTTTTTTCCTTTCAGCACTTTGAATATATTATTCTACCCTCTGCTGGTTTGCAAGGTTTCTATTATGAAATCCACTTGTAGCTGTATTAAGCATATCTTGGATATACTTCTTTTCTCTTGAATATTTCAGATTTTTTAAACTTTCTTTTTTGATATTTGATTATACTGTGTATTAATGAGTTCTACTTTGGGTTGGAGACCTCTAAGCTTCCTGTGCTCAGATATTCATTTGGTTGCCCGGATTTGAGATGTTTTCTGCCATTATTTCTGTAAATAAGCTCTCTCTCTCTCTCTCTCCCCTTCTCCATGATGTTCCATAGATCCCATAGACTTTCTTCATTTCTTTTCATTCCTTTTATTTCTCTGACTGAATGATTTTAAATAATCTGTTTTCAAGTTTGCTTATTCACTTTTCTGCCTGATCTAGTCCTCCACTGAAGCTCACTATTGAATTTTTAGTTAAGTCATTGTATTCTTCACTCCAAAATTTGTTTCTTCATTATGTTTTTAATCTCTTTATCTTCTCATTCTGTTCTTGTATTGTTTTTCTGATTTCCTTAACTTGTTAATATGTTGTCTTGTAATTTCATGAGCGCTTATACAATAACTATTTTTTACTTCTTTGTCAGGCAACTCACGAATCTCTGATTCTTTGGGCTCAGATACTAGAAGTTTACTGTGTTCTTTTGGTGTTATGTTCCCTGATTTTTCACGATCCTTGTAGTCTTTCAAAGGGGTCTACACATTTGAAGATGCAATTGTCTATTCTAGGGTATATGTACTGGCTTTGGTAAAGAAAGACTTTTACCTGTGTGGGAAGCTGACAGGAAAAGAGACATGCTGGCAGCACTGTGGCATTGGGTCTAGTCGTGTTGGGTGTAAAGTGTGGGGCCACGCAATAACTCTGGGTCTGGGAGGGCACTGAGTCTCACTGGTTAAAGCAGGTGGTGTTCCTGACATTGGCATCTTTGTAGTCCTTGGTGGCCATAGCTGCAGAAGGTCCACAGTGGCTGTTAAGGCTATCAGAGACCTCAGCTGTTCCTCTGGGCCTAAGAGGCTAGAGGCTGGGGTCAACAGCAGTTGAGGCTAGAAATGTCAATGTGCATGCACTGTACTGTGGAAACCCACAACAAGCATGGTAGCACCTCTGCTATGGTAGCAGAGGCCAGATGCAGGCCCACACAAAGGGCAAGATGTGGGGTAAGAGGCAGGGACTGGGACCAACTGAGAGTGTACATGTAGCAGGTCTAACAGGCTTGCATGTACATGATTTTGGAGGCCAGCTGTGGGCTGTCAGTAGACATCAGGTGTTCCGCATGTGCACAGGTAACTGCAGGGCCACACTGGAGGTGCACTTGCATATGCCAGCACAGGGGTCTGCTGTGGGTGTAAGCATGATGTTGGGAGCAGGAGCGGGGGTCAGAGACAGCTGCTTGGGCAAACCAGCTGTGGGAGCCAAGGCTCGCAGCATGCAACAGCCTGGTTTTAGAGGTAAACCTCATATGCTCACAGCAGTAGACTTAAATCTTTCAGTAAAGGGTCCTGAGGCTGTTTGCAGGCATACACACAGCAGCTGCATTGGGTGCCTGAGCCAGAGCTCCTGCAGAGGCAGCAGTTAGAGTGGCTCCAGAAAACAAGGATTGTGGCTCAGGCAGCTGTAGAATACAGTGTTCACCAGGATAAGTCCCTGAATCTGGGTGACCATGGTTAAGACCACATTGTGGAACAAATGAGCCATAAAGTTTGAGTGAAGAGCTCTGCCCTGAAACTGCTCCCACAGAGAGTCACAAGATGAACATTTTCCACAACTCTGTCATACTGTGGCCTGGAGAGAGACAACAGTGTGTGCGCCTTAACTGACAATCAGAAGCCCCAGGACAGGCCTGTGACAGGGAAATGGGACAGGCCTGTGACAGGGAACAGACCATGTTCCTGACTGTCTATGACATGGAACTGATGCAACCTCATCATCCCTTACAGAGACCTCAATGCCTGTCACCTGAGCTACCTGTCAGGGCTGGTGCCTGCACTCATCATTGGGATATTCTTGAGCAATCCAGGGAGTTCACCTCAGCCCATCTGTATCCCCTTCTTTTTATTAAACAGGAAGCTCAGAGCACCAGGCACTCCATGTCCAGCCCACCAACGGAAACAACAGAGAGCACCTCACAGGAAAGGAAAATCAAGTACCTACCCACCTGGTAGTGCCTCTTACCCATAAGTGCCAGCCACTGTTCTGCAGGTCAAACTGCACCAGCCAATATAACACCTGCCAACTGAAGTACATAGGGCCATGCCAGCAAAGCCGAGAGTGCATAGGGCCATGCCAGCAAAGCCGAGAGTGCATAGGGCCATGCCAGCAAAGCCGAGAGTGCATAGGGCCGTGCCAGCAAAGCCGAGAGTACATAGGGCCGTGCCAGCAAAGCCGAGAGTACATAGGGCCGTGCCAGCAAAGCTGACAGTACATAGGGCCGTGCCAGCAAAGCCGAGAGTGCATAGGGCCATGCCAGCAAAGCCGAGAGTGCATAGGGCCATGCCAGCAAAGCCGAGAGTACATAGGGCCGTGCCAGCAAAGCCGAGAGTGCATAGGGCCATGCCAGCAAAGTCGAGAGTACATAGGGCCATGCCAGCAAAGCCGAGAGTACATAGGGCCGTGCCAGCAAAGCCGACAGTACATAGGGCTGCCCAGCAAAGCCGAGAGTGCATAGGGCCATGCCAGCAAAGCCGAGAGTACATAGGGCCGTGCCAGCAAAGCCGAGAGTGCATAGGGCCATGCCAGCAAAGTCGAGAGTACATAGGGCCATGCCAGCAAAGCCGAGAGTACATAGGGCCGTGCCAGCAAAGCCGACAGTACATAGGGCTGCCCAGCAAAGCCGAGAGTGCATAGGGCCATGCCAGCAAAGCCGAG